ACTGTCTTCAAACACAGTGAGACTCCTTTAAGTCAAAACAGTTTATACAAAAAGTACCTTCACTTTTTTTTTTTAATCTGTACCCACATTAGTCTCCAGATCTTACAGAATAAATCACATTCCTCCCTCCAAACAAAGTGGATGGTCTTACAGGCAGGCGGGAAAGTTCTAAGTGTCTTTTTAGTTCCCAGGAACATAGAGGGTAAGCAATCATGAATTCATTGTTTGCTCTCCCTATGTCCTGGGGGCTAGCTGTCGTGCTTGGCTCAACAGGCATGCCTAATTTTGGCCAAACAACATTAAGAACTTGCCCAACACGTAAGGCTAATTGTCAGGGCTGGTTAAATACACATGAAAAGGCTCTTGGCTATTACTGTTATTTAAAATTCAGTTATAAAACCTCAGTATCATAATCTAACAGTCTCATTTCTGAATAGGGAAGAATAACCAAAGATGTGTATAGACATATAGGGAACAGAGTTATCTGCAGTGTAAAAACAAGAGCTGACAAATGAAGGACGGGTATTTAATCGGCATTTAGGCAAAAGAATATACAGGTTAACTTTCCAACACTAATAATCAAATTCAGTAGTAACCTACACATGCAGGCATGTAAGAACCCTTAAAAGACCCTAGCATTTCACAACGTATTCCAGGCCATGAAAATCCAGAGCAGAGCTAAGTTTTTCCAGACCTGAAATCCTTTTTCAGTGCTTTCACTTCTTCTTAAAACACTAGCTAGATATTATCATCCATTTTGGGGCCAAATCTGCATTTGTCCTAGCCAAATGCATTCAGAGCCTAGCTTTGACTTCCACCGGGAAATGTTTAGCTATGTCCTTAAATGTGAGATAATGTGGAGGATGGAAGAGGAGATGCCAACTTTCAGCTGTTGTATCTGCTAGGTTTCTACCTGTTCACTTGATGGCTCATTTAAATGTAACACATGGTGGTGGTGAAAGGCAAAAGCATCACTGAGCTACAAGCTGAAGCAGACCTGATTTTATGGCTATCTGCTGTACACAGATCAGTCCTGCCTTTCCCCCTGCACAAAGGAAAGGCATGCTTTAGAGAAAGAGCTTTAAGTTCCTTATTACTTTCGAAAGATTTCAAAAGCAGCCTTGTTAAAAGAAAAAAGGGCTCAACTATGAAATCACTTCCTTCTGTTTAAAATATTTTACTCAAGGAAAAAGAAAAACCCCAAAGGGCATGAAAAACAAACAAAAAAAAAAAACAAAAAACAAAACAAAAAAAAAATCTGTTCTCTGCTTCTGACTTGTTCCTTGGATTCAGCATCCCACCCGCTCATGGGATGACGCAGTGTGCCAGATCCCGACCGCTCCAGCCAGCGCATCAAGTGGCCATAGCCCTCCCCACACAATCACTCCTTGTCAGAGGTGGCTGGCGTCCACCCCGTGCATGCTGACAGCATTGCTGCTGGGACGACTGCACCCCTTCGGGGCAGCTCTTATCCTCTTGGAGAAAGGCAGCAAGGCACCAGGAGGGCAGGTCGTGTTAGGCAGCTAACAAACAAGAAGCTCTTTTGTTAATTCCCTCCCTCTCCTGCCCCCTGAAATGTAATGTGGATGGAGAAAGAGGAAAAGATGATCTGCTTGCAGCAGTGACGCTTTCTTTGCCTGGGAGCACAGCCAGCAGGACGACTTGAGGAAGAACCGTTTATGGAAGTTTAGAAGTCAAACGAACAGTTCATTACTGCCCAAATCACAAAGGGGTTACTTACAGCTGAGTAGCATTCTAACAAAGATCCTAAGATGAGGACTGGTTTGCCTCCCTCTGCTAATACTCATACGTTTACTCAGAGTCCCAGCTTTGTTTTCCCTTGGTTCTCAGGGCATCCTTCCTCTCCTCCAAAATGGGTAAGTGGGCTGACACACACCAGCTCCCTTCCCCACTCAGGTATGGGGCAGGACAGCTGGGAGAGGGATCTTGGTAATAAACTGAACTGCTGCCTTTTCCCATCTCCACCTCCAGCAAAAAGTTGTTTTCTGCCTCAAATAGCAATGTATAACCCTGATCTTCACCATTAAGAGAGGCAGGGGGTCTTTTCTGCTGTGTTATTGAGGTTTATTGATGCAGAAAAAGCCAGATTTCCAGACTGCACGAGATAAATATTCAGCAAGTTGGTGCAGGCAGCCTAAGACATCCACCTTTTCTGCCTTTGCCCAAAGCTGAAGCAGATAAACTTGCAGCACTGTGTACTGACTACCTCTGCAGGAAGGCACTCAGGAAGTACAACACTTGAAATTAAATCTTCTGCCTGTGACACTTTTAAGCCAGACTCACAAGCAGACTGTAAGCAGTTGCAGAGCACCAGGACACCCAGCTGATCAACAGGCTGACCGCACTGCCTACTCCAAACTGAGATAAGGCCTAAACAGCTCTTCAAAGCGATGCTTAGGTTTTTTTGTTCCCCAAAACAATCTTCCATTGGAAGCATAAATTCAGTAATATAGGATGGCATTTGTCAGCTGATGACATCTAATGAATGTTTCTTATGGGTCATCTAGCAGTCTGCTTAACACGCTGGTGCACAAACATTTAACCTCTCAAAGTCTTTGTGGTTGCCCACAGGCCCAATTCTTGGCTTCAGGCTATTTTTATTTTTTTATTTACTATTAAAAAAACCCAAACAAAAAACAACTAACCGAAACCAAACCCATAGCTCTTCTCCAGCCATTTTTATCTTGCAACTGTGTCTCACAGGTGGTAAGGGGGTGAAAGCACTGCTGCTTCCTTACACTATAACCCTGTGACTGACCTCCTCCTACCAAAGAAAACACACTGCTTTGGAAAACAAACCAAACCAACAAACCCCAAAACAACCCCCTTTTCAAAATAATTCCGAAGTGGGAGATCCAAATACAGGATCACAGTCTGGAAGTTCCGCTGTTTTCTTCAAAACAAATACTACAATACCTCTCTCTGTAAATAGTGCTTTATGCAGATTAGAAAAGATGCTAAACCAGATGCTAAAAAAGATGCTGAATTCATTCACAACACTGAATGAATTTAACTGCACCGGTAACAAGAAACAAGGTTCTGTCTGAATCCTGAAGAAAGCTTCAACGTGTGCTGCCTGCAGTCCTGAAAATTTCTTACTCCAAATAACCCCAGTGAGGAATCAGAAGTATTAATAAACTACATCAACAGCTAAACTTGAGTCACCTTCAGTTTGGCTAGTGCTACTTAACCTCTGGAGTTGTTCCACTGTTTCCAGAACAATACCTTGAAAAAATAAGGTACTTATAAAAATAAAAAAAGGGCTACTTCATGTTCCTTGTACACCTCTACTGTTGTGGCCATACTGGGTGGCCTGTAATTTTCCCTGTGACCTCTGCTCATTGGAGAATAGAGGAGGGTGCAGTCACTACCTCACCTCACAGTTGCATACATACCTCTAGTCCCATACATGCTTGGGATGAGCTGCCATGTGCGATCTATTCAGTGACTATTTATTTACTCTTTCAGCTCCGCACTGCACTGGCATAAGCGCTTGCCATTTCCCACCCACATTTCTTTTTTTTTTTTAAAGTCTGAGCCAGCCTTTCACCTCAGAGGAAATACCCCACTGCTGTATGAGCAGAAGAGAAAACAAGGATTTATTTCCCAAAAGATGACTGCAAAACCTGAATTTTCCTTGTGTTCTTAATCTCATTTTGCCTTCTGCAAGGAAGATCATGGAAGTGGGTACGGACAGGTTTCTGAACCACCGGGCAGTCAAGACAGTTTTTATGAACCACTGTAGCCTCCCTTGCAAAACTCAGACATTATTTTCCCAAAGAGGAGAGCAGGACATGTAGGAGTAAGACTTTTCAATGGCTGAACAGGTTAGTCAACTACACAGTCCATATTCTGGTTACAAAGCTAAGCACCAGCTAGGACAGCTAGATTTACATTCTTAAACTAACATATGAGTTGACACAATGATTCATATCATATGTCTGAAATTACTCTGCTGTGTTTGTGCAGACATTAACTGCTAGAGACCACGAGTCACAACACAGAGCCATGGAAATCAAGATGTCAAGCAAGAACTGGGGTTAAGTTTTGGGCTTTGCAGACTTTGTACAGGTGCATTTATGGACTACTACGGCAACCTCACAATGCAACAGGGAACTAGGATCCCAAGAGAAGACCTCATAGGTGAGATGACAGATTGGGACAAGGAGACAACTGACACCATCCCTGCCTGCCTGCAGCTTACTATCATCAGCAACAAGCAGAACAAACTGCAAAAAACATCACTGGGGAATGGTATCCACTCTCCAGGCTGTGCTTTTGCATAAGGAAACTGAGAGTTCCTGACAAAAACCAAATACAGCCATTTACAAAAAGACAAGAATCTTCTGACTTCAAAGTGTGCCATCATATTTGCCTCCTGTTTTCCAAGCCCTGAAGCTTGGGCACCTCCTGAGCAGTGCGCTCAAGCACACCAGTGCCTCCACATGCTGCTTTTCTATATTAGCAAATTGGTAGATGTTCAGATGTGCCAAACATTAGAGACTTGAGCAAACTGTACATGCAGTCCTGCTTAATGTGCAAGATCTTTTCATCAACAGCCTGTAGCCCCTCATTGTTCTTCAGACACAGGAGTACGGCCTGAATGCACACAACACCTTTTGGGTGGCAAAAAGGAGACAAGAGATACTTCGTCAGAAGACTGAGCCTTTCCTGTACTATTTAAAGGTTGCAGCCATCTGGCATCTTCAAAGGCAAAAGGGCAAATGCTGCACAGGATAGGCTGCTCAACAGGTATTAAACCTGTTGCAAACCCCCACCACCTTACATCCTGAGGTCCTGGATTTTCATCAGTTTCATGCCTAGGGCTGAATGACCAAGTCTCTTAGACCCCCTTCAAAATAAACTTGATAGTCCCAACACAGTAATGAATGCTGGGGGTTCTTATTGCCACCGCCTCTTCTAATGTCTTGCAAATGCTGCCGACCTCCCAGAAGCTGGATGTGCATTACTTAAATCACCTGATAAACAGAGTGGGGGGAACAGGGGAGGCAAAATAAGCACTTACCAAGCACAATGACGACAGTCTTCAGGAGGCTCATCATGGTGTCCCGATTCCTGCGGGGTCCAGAACTGTGTCTGGACATTCTCATAGTCCTTTGGCGGACGTACCCAAAGATATGAGCATATAGGACCACCATGACCACAAAAGTGACAAGGTTGAAAATAGCCCAGAAGACCAGGTAGGAGTCACTGTAGAGCGGTGCCATGTTGGAGCAGTGAGTGATATCACAAATACAGTTCCATCCAACACTTGGTATGGCACCCATGACGATGGCCATTGTCCAGATAACGACAATTACGACCACCACTCGCCGGTTGCTCATCCGAGTATGTAGCTGCATTCGGAAAACTGTAATGTGCCGCTCAATAGCAATGGCCAACAAATTGGCTACAGAGGCTGTCAGGCTAGTGTCAATGAGACCCTGGCGGAGAAGCCAGGTGCTTACAGTCAGTCTTCTAGTGTTGGGTCCTGTGTTGAACATTAAGTAAAAGTAGGCCAGTCCTGCAAAAAAGTCCGCAGCGGCTAAGTTGGCCATTAAGTAATAAATAGGGAAGTGGAATCGGCGGTTGACATAAATAGCCACCATAACCAAAAGGTTGGCCAGCATTATGAAGATGCAGACGGTAATCCCCAGTCCCATTACAAGCTTGCTGACAGTGTTCCATTCAGTGGCTAGATATTTTCCACTTCGATTATAAAAGAAGGCAATGGTTTCATTGTAGTAGCACTGTGGTTCACTCATGGCTGTTGACTGAAAGAAGGGGTGGGGGGGGAAGAGAAAAAAAAGAATGACATCAGAACTGAAACATGTTTGTCTCCATGGACAAGACATACACAGAGAGTGGGGACAGGAAAGGAACACGCTTCTGAACAAATTTACTTTTTCAGACTAAGTGGCATTCCACAATTCGCAAACAAATGCTCTAGGAGTCTAGTAACAGCAGCCAGATTAGAAACAACCAGAAATGTTTCCGTCTGTGCTGGGAGCTAGCATGATTTCTGATGCAGTTGTAAATTCATAGCAAATGAGCTTCTGGCCAGACAAACCTGCTGAAAAATTCACTTAAGAAAAGGGCATGCAATTTGTAATTAAGAGAAGTTACCTCTCTTACAGGACAACTTATTTACATCATCAGTGCATAAAACTGTTGTTTGGTTGTACCACTGTGAAGAGCTCCTCAAAAAGGAGGAGAAGATTACATTTCCCCGCAGGTTTTGACTCATTCAAGTGTCCATCAGGGGCATTCCTTCTTGCCCCGTCTTAAAAACTGGGAAGAACACCCTAAATTAAGACCGTCAGCATGTTCTAAAGCTGTGAATTGCCAGGGCCAGGGTCTATGTCCTTAAAGCATAAAGTACATTTATAAACAATAAAGGAAGCTTGCTGCTGTATTTCTATGAGTATTCTTCTTTTTCCATCAACCACATTTCTGTATTTTGAAATACACCATGCTTTTAAGTATAACTCATCTGAACCAACTTATTCCAATTTGAATTAGGAGTGAGGCAATAAATCAGAAAAGTAATATTTTAATGCTAAAAGCATCAAATCTTATTTCTTGCATTAAGTATTGTTATGTGTTGTCACAGAATACATAAGTAATTTTCTTGCAGAGTACTCAGCTGAGCACAGCTATGGGTGCAACAAAACCCATACTCTACCAGAATGTAGAACTTTTACGTAAAAGTGTTAGCTAACAAAAAAAAAAAAAAAAAAAAAAAAAAGGCTTAATGAGTTTCCTTCCTCAATTATAATCAATTACTCAAGGACCAATTCCCAAAAGGCAAAACTTAGGAAGAACCCCTCTGAACAACATCCTGGTTCCTTCTTTAGCATGGTTTAACAATAAGGATGTAACCATAATAATTAAAACAAAAAATAAACCAGAATAAAACCACAGAAAAAAACACCAACCAAAAAAGGCCTCAAGAAACTAATGTCAAAAAAGTCTCTTTCTAAAGACACCTGGGAGATATGGCTCTGACACCCTGCTTCTGTGGCTGTGAAACTCTACCAACTGAACTTGCAGTTTTACAATAAGAGGACCAGTTTTAGCAAGAAACAAGTAAGCCCAATGAAAGAATAGACCGACAACACTAAAAGATATGAATTCTCGTTAAAACAGGCAAACAAAAGCATGTTTTGGACAGCTCCAAGCATTCTGCAGGAAATGCTACCCCCAACCTAACCCTTATATGGAAACAAAAAGTGTACAGAATTGGAAAAGAGAATTAGTAATTGAAGTCAAGTGAAAATAGTATCTGACAAAAGTTTTCTTAGAATTACCCAAAGCTAGTTCTCTTTCAAAAAACTGTTTGTCAACACAATTAAACTAAATCCTATGAAGCAATATCCAAAACTTCCCACCAATATCCCAAATGCATTACATGACATTTAGATTTATGTTAAAGAAAAAGGTCTTTTTAGAGCGATTTTACTTCCAACCTAAACATTGATTAGAAACATTTGCAGACCCAGGATAATAAAAACCTAGAATAAATACTATTTCTCGGCACAGTGACTATAAAACTTTTATTGTTCCTCTAGGATACATCAACTCTTAGGTTAGAAACATTTCAGCTTTAATTATTTAAGAATTTTTAAAAGTTCTCATGTAGGATCTCTCTGTTGCATAGAAAAAATGATTTATAAGGGATACTTAACAAAGAGAGACCTAGCTACAAGACATCTGGCTTTAATTCTTCGTGTGGTAATAACAGGTCAAGTATAAGAACCCTTAAGGGAGAGAGGAAGTCGTATGAATGAATTAGTGGCCCTTATAAAAGCTTGCCAACACCTGCATTAATTATGTGAATGCCCTGTTTTTTTTCTCTCTGTAGGAATATCTGCATGCAGTTATACACTCTGATTTACAGAGGAGGTCAGGACTCCAGGATCTAGTGGACTTTCATGATCCTGAATAAATTCTCTCTTTGTCTACATATTTGTCGATCTAAATTTTTCTTGCAGATGGCTGCTGCCCATATGTAACAATTCCTGCTCCACTGTTGCTCCTGTGGGGACAGCCCAGCTACACCTGGCGAAATACAATTTTTAATTCAGAAATCTGAAATGTGGTAAATGTAACTTTTTGTGTGTCTCTCTGTTTTGCATGTGGGCTTAGAATGTGAATTATTCCTCTGTTTTGTAATCCTGATTTTATTTTGTAAACGCACTTTTTATCCCTCAGCTTTGTCACATAAAATCTGACACTGATATGATAAAAAAAAGTAGTCTTAGTCACAAAATGCCAAGCCAGGGATGAATGTATGCAATGCACATAAGAATACGTAAAACATTATTATAAAGTCTGACTTGTTACATTCAAAAGCATGACAGCACTTGAGCACTCTTGAAGGAATAGCATGAGGCTCATCAGCTTGTCTCATTTTGAAGAAACAGGAACAAAACACTCTGTTCGCATAAGGGATTTGAGAAGTTTGTTTTTTAGGGCGTGCTAACCTAAAACCTGGGATCGCCTTTAAAAGATATTCTTTTCAGTCTCATGGGAAAGAACAGCAGCAGAAGAGACTGTTTGCTGACAAAAGTTCAAACAGGGGACTTCCCAGATGATCAGCTTTCTTGCACGACAGTGTATATATTACAGGAAGGTTTTGACCTCCCAGGTCATAAACATACAAATCCCAAGACATCACATTTACCCCTGCTGCTGCTGTCTGACTGGAAAGGTTCAAGCAGCAGGGCAACACAATGTATCTCTGAGTACTGAAAGAGTTAACATACCATAATGGGATATGCAAGCGGGCAGACCCATCCCCTTCTCCTGCCCCTGCAGGAAAAGGGGCAGGGAAGTTTATATTTTAATTTCCTGAAGTTTCACTCAGTGTGTTTCATTGCCTGGGTAAGCCAGATGTGCAGTGCCCCGAGATTTACCTCATCCATTTAGTATATCTCAACAGAAGTTTAAAACAAACTGAGCTGCAAATTGCCCATGTTAACAAAACCTCTATGACATGTCTCTGTAGAAAAAGAAAATGTCTGAATTATGAACCAGCAAGACAGATAAAGCAAAATGGAGTAATAGAAGGCTAAAAGCAAAGCCTCCTCTAACCATGTGAGGTTGACTGAATACTCAAGACATGGTTGTCCCAAACCAAAGAACAAGAAAATCCTGAGTACATGCAGTTAAATCTCTTAATATGATGAGACACAGTTATAACCGCTACACAGTACACACAGGCCAGGAAATCCCATACCAGCACATAGTAAATAAAACTCAGTCTGCTTCTACAGTCAATGCCTAGTCATGCTGTAGCCAGAATACCACCTCGTCACTGGCCTTCCAGCCACTATCTGCTACACTTGTCCTCTCGGCTCCTCTACTCTGGTGGTAGGGGACCATGCCACTGAGGTGGCAGTGGGGAAGGTGGGAAGAAAAGCTCACGTAAGCAATTTTCCAGTGTTTCATCCTTGATTCATCATGGTGCTGCAGTAAGTCTCCATCACAGCTTGAGGAGTGAGGTGAGGATTTGGATTCAAGGCAAGGAACAGCTTGCCCATGGGATGTCCTTGGTTGAGCGGCCCTTTACCCCCCTGACCAGAGTGAAGAAGCCACTGTTTGCCTGGAGTGGGAAGGTGAGAGGGGATCTCTGGGTCCTGACAGCTTGGTGGTGAGTGACAGCCCACCTGGACAGGGCTTTGCATGGAGAGATGCTTAGGATGCAAAACAAACACCAACTGATTGATTCTATCTAAACAAAGCATTTGTTAGCACAAGGTGCCTGAGGGGCAAATGATCAGTTTACAAACCCCCCTGCAACCACAGTTTGCAGAGCTCCCCAGTCCACCTAACAAAAAGTACTAAAAAAGAAATAAAAAACCCAAACCAAAATCCAACCCAGGACCCTCTCCCCCCAGCATGCATGGGTTCATTTATTTCTCACTGAGAGAAACAGCACAGAGCTGAACATTCTTAGAATACTAAGGTCTGACTTTTACAGAGCTTTTAAAACTTGGAAGCCACAAAAATGATTCCATATCCAAGAAAACTCTTAAAAATATTTTAACCCTAAGCTCTCCAAACACAGTCTGATCCTCTTATTTTCCATTTACTGAATTAACCTCAACATGATGCTAATTTCTTACTTAGAACACAGACAAGAGATGAAAAGTAATTTATTTGGCAAGGAAGGAATACGACCATTTTCCATACAATGAAATACCAAGTACAAGCCAGAGACCTCAATTTTGCAGAAATCATTCATTTTGCATGTACTCTTCTTAAAGTTTGCTAGACTCTGAGTAGACTCATTGTATCCAGGATGAGTTTTTAATTCTGAGGTAGCTACTCTTGGATCCCCAAAACAATATTTATCATTCTCAGTGTCACCCAGGAACCCAAAAGTATTTCAGAAGAAATGCAGACTTCGGAACAGCAGACTAGGACTCCAAAACAGGAATAGGTGTCTTAAAGCTTTACATTCAGTGCAGCAGTTAATGGAAAAGCAGTAACGCTGCTTTAAGTTTATGTAAATATTCTGAAGTTTACCAACATACCAGGAAGGCTTGAGCTGAAAAGGGAACTGCCAACTTCAAAATCCCCAAGTAAGGGTACCTATTAAGAAAATCTTTAAAATAAGCATAAGCAAGTAAGAATAGGAATAATTGAATCAATATGTAAATACTTTATCAACCCACAACTCCAAAACTGTGGGGTTTATGAGAGTGCAGTTGTAACATATGAGAAAAAAATTCCAATTTGCAACAAAAATTTCTCCATTACCTAATGA